GGACTCTATGCTGTTAATTTTTTAAATCTTACTTTTGGTACAAAAAAAGACAAGTTCTAACTATCAATCCCCTAAAATGGGTTAGATAAGGATCCCTAGATCATGGTATGTTTTTAATCATATAGGACTAAATAACAAAAAAAAAGAAGCTAAATTTGAAAATCCCTTAATAGTAACCTGAATAATAAAAATTCCTTTTTAATCATATGGGACCGAATAAGGATTTTAAAGTTTCCTAAAATGACTATATTGCTTTTTTTTTATTTTCTTAAAAAACATCTTGTTAACGGTGATATCAATATTGTTAATAGTGATAATAAACTTGTTAATCACATTATTAGAGTTGTAAAATTTTCCATTTATGATTTCATAACGTCACAATCTCTCAAATCATATTGTTAATGGTATTACGTGAGTTGTTAATATTATTGCACAACTTGTTAACATCGTTATTTAAGTTGTAAAAGTAGCACTTTTTTAATTTCTTAAAAAACCTATTGTTAACAATGGTGCCAAACTTGTTAATAACATCAATAAACTTGTTAACCGTCTTACTTAGAACAATTTGGTCTTTTTTTTTATAGGTCATTTTAGTAAACTTGAAAATCTCTATTTAGTCATAAGTGGTTAAAAAAAGAATTTATCTTATTCAAATGACTGTTTAGGGATTTCCAAATTCAAAAATCTTTTTTGTTATTTTTTAATTTTTTTATTTCCTGGAAGATGAGCATTTTCAAGGCCATATTCCAAATTTTGAAAGTTTGATATTAAGAGCTCTATTGGTTCAATTACAATACAATGCACTACAATCTAATCCGACCTAAATGTATTGCAAACCTTATCATCATGAAGATGTTTGGTATGATATTAACTGGATTGGCAACAAATTTGTGTTTTATATCAACATAAATAAAATATATAAGATTACTAAATTACCCTCAACCAAATTTCCTTTTCATCTTCCCCTCCTCCTTCCCTCCACATTATTTCCCATCTATTATCCACCCAAAGTCAACCTCATTCTCCCTTCTAATGTTGCATACATCATCACCGTCTTCCCTAGGCTCAGGTGAGGGGCCGATAATGATGGTGGAGGGCGCTGATGGTCAGAAGATGAAGAAGGGAGAAGCCGACAATGGTGATGAGAATACTCTGAAGAGAAGCTTCTAAAAATAGTTTTGAAAAAAAAAACTACTTTTGGGAGTTTTTCCTCCTAGTATTTTTTCTTCCCTAGTTTTCCTTATCCAAACATAGGGTTAGGATTAAAAATTATGTACACCACTTTTAATTCTTAATATAAGATCTAGTTAACTCATTTAAAGAGATTTAAAAAGCTAAATAAATTACTTAATTATAATATATCTTACATGACCTCTATAAAATGCTTATATGTATCATTATATTATACTACCTCCGATTCTTAATATAAGATTTTGTTTTAGTTTTATTTTGGTCCTAGATATAAGACTCCAATCCATTTTGTCTCTCATATTTATGTTTTTTTTAAGATAGTCCTTCTAATAATAGTAGTTCTAGCCAATACACTTGATTAACGAGATAATTTTAGGAAAGATAACACCTAGCTATTATAAATAATTAATTTAACTTATTTTCTTAATTTTCTCAAATTAGTCAATTAACTCTTATAATTAGGACCAGAGGTAGTATATTAGTTTATAAGTTAGGCAAATTAGTTTATAAGAAACTAATAAATAATATATACTTTAATAATAATGCACATAAATATTTTAGAGATATAATATAACATGTACTATAATTAAGTAATTTATTTAGTGTTTTTAATCTTCCTAAACCAGTGAACTGAGTGTTATATGATGGAGCAGAACTATTATAAATATTGAAATAAATTATATGACACATAAAGTTGTCTAGTTGTTTTTTATGTGAAGCGTGCTGAATGGTACCCATGACTTCCAAAGTCAAACCAATATATTATATATATGCAAGCAGCAAGCCACAAGTTCCAAAGGCAAAAGGCAATTCTACATGACATGTGAATATATCAGAATATCAACACATCTTTTGAGAAGTTTTCTTCAGGGAATGATTATGGAACACTATACGCGCGATTCACCTTAGTGCAGCTTCATCACGAGCAAGCAGGGACGCCGTACGCCTGTGACCCATTTCCTCCAAAGGGAAGAAGCTTCCGCGGCACAAAACTCGCCATGGAGCTCTTATCTTCCTCCACCTAAATCATCGCTCTATTTTTACTACCCAAACTACCCCTGGTTGGACACATGTAAACATCTAAATACCGGAGCACAATTTTAACCTGTGCTGCACTCCACCTAATGGCCTCCTAACAGCTTGCTTTTGTTTTGCGTAACACTTGATCCCCCAATTGTCCTGTTCTCATGATCTTCTTATCTCTTCCCAATAGTTCCGTCACTTCCGCGTCTGCTTTCTCTTTCTTTTTTTCTTTTTCCTTTTCTTTTTTAAAAATTGGCGGCTTGGGTGGTTGCCATTCGCTTCTCCTTAATTTCATCTCTTCACCCAATACACGAAATTTTCTGTGGAAAAATAGTAAATAAAAACACTAAAAAGTATAAAATTATAATTTGAGTTCTTGACCAAGTCTTATAAATTAGCAAATATTGTGTAAATAATCAAATTGTCTTATTGTTTAAATTTGTTATCTTCAAATGCAAACTTACTATCTTCCGGTCCTAATTATAATAGCTAGTTGACTAATTTGACAAGATTAAAGAAAGAAGTTAAATTAGTTATTTGTAATAAATAGGTAATGTTTTTCCCAAAACATCCTTGTTAATCAAGTGTATTGGCTAGAACTACTATTGTTAGAAGGATTACCTTGAAAAAAAATACTACCTCCTGTTCTTAATATAAGACCTTGTTTGACTTTTATTTTGGTTCTAAATATAAGACTCCAATCCACTTTATCTCTAATATTTGTGCATTTTCCCCCAAGATAGTTCTTCTAATAATAATAGTTCTAACCAACACATTAGAGTTGATAATCAAAACTGGCCCTTCAGGGCTGGCGGGCTTAAAAGGACCGGCCCTCCAGGGCTGAAATTTTAAAAATACCCCAATTTGCTAGGCCTGACCCTTAAGCTACAGGGCCAAGGCCGGCCTGCAGGCTTTTGGCCCGTTTAAGAAAAAATACTATTTTTTATATTTATCATATTTTTTTATAAAAATATAAAAATAAACCAATGAAATTATTAATAAAAGACATAAATATGAATAAAATTAAGTCACAAATATAAAATATCATCATATATAAATATTTATCAACATCTAAAACATTCATTAACAAGATAACAACATCTAAAAGTTTTATCTATAATGTAATTGTGTAATAAATAAACACTATCATTAATCTTTTGAAACTTCATCATCACTTTAATTAATTACTTTTCTTCATAAGTATACTTTTCTTTCGTAACAAAAATATCAAGTTTTTCTTTTTTATAAGAATTTTATTTTTAAATTTTGCAATCTAACTATTATTTTACTTTAATGTGAGAAATATTATTGTTGAAACTCATGAATTTCTAATTCAAATTATAGAATCACAAGTTATATAAGTATAAAAATATTCTATTATCAAATATATATATAGTTTAAAAATATCAACGCATATAATATAACAATGCTAATGTAATAAAGCATCTTCCAACAAAATTGACATTATATATTAATAAATTGATTTTGATGATGATTATTAACAATACTTTTTTTTGTCTGAACTAAATATGTTATGAGGGATGAGTCACAATATTAACGAGCTGCAAATAATATAATCTATCATAGATTTTATTTTGTATAAATTAAATATATTGATATTATATTGATCTTTTAGAAAGCTGCGTTATCATTGAATTAGGAATAGCGCAATCCATCTTAAAAGACAAACACATGATACGTAGTCTTAGTTTGTAATATTACCTTCTTTTTTTTTTTGGTTACATGTAATATTACTTTCGTTACTTAATATAAAAACTACTCAATTGATTTGAGTAGATTAAAAAAATTTATTTAAATTAATTATTTGTAATAAATATATGTTATCTTTTCTAGAATATCTTGCTAATTATATGTATTAGCTAGAACTTACCATTTGATAAAATTTTTATCAGGTGCAAGTGTAACTATTACAAGAACTACTTTAAAAAAATAAATATAATAAATAAAATAAATTTGGGTCTTATATTTATGACTAAATTGAATATCAAATATTATCTCTAGTTCTTAATATAAGATTTCGTTTAACTTTTATTTTGATTTTAAATATAAAATCTCAATCTATTTTGTCTCTTATAGTTATCTATTTTTCTCAAAATAGTCCTAATAATAATAGTAGTTATAACTAATACATTTGATTAACAAGTATATTTTAAGAAAAATAATACTTATTTATTACAAATAACTAACTTATGTAATTTTTTAATCTACATAAATTAGTTAACTAACTCTTATTTTGAAAACGGAGGGAGGTATTATAAAGAATGAAAGGTAATATTATTTAATTTCTGTGAATATGCAATGTCCTGCCCATTTCTCTTTCACACTATTTTTTTTAATTAAATGAGTAGATACTAATGACATGAGATTGTAACCAAGATTAAACGTCCATTTATGAGAAGCTTTCATATTATTAAGTTATATAATATTGATATTTTTATTTTCTTAATAAATCGATTCGCACTGTTTTGAATATATATAATATGAATATTCTAAATATATTGATTGATGATTGATTATTGTATTAAAATAGTTCTGAGTTTAATACATTGCATGTGCATTGAGAAATTAGCAGTACCACTTATTAGAATTTTCATTTATATTATGTATAGGCAGATAAGATTATTATTATGAATGATTGGCATTGATAATTTATTAATAATTCTAATTAATTAATATTTAATATTGTGTATATATTATCAAGGTCACAGCCTGCCAACACACTTAGCTGGCCACTCGTTTATTTTTCTAAATTCATTTTCATTTTCTTCTCCTCTCTGTTCTTCACCGAGCCCTCCAGAAGAGGAGAGAGAGACAGAGACACAGACTCCGAATCATTCCGCGTCATTGGAATTCTCTCTCTCTATCTCTCTCTCGATTTGACCTCACATTGATTCATCTGCATTCTCCTCAGAATAATCGGGGTTCAGATTCTCGTCTCGGTGCTCATTTTCTCGGGAAAGATTTGGGCGAGAAAATTGTCACACACACATTCGGCCTCATTTTGGGGAAAGATCCGGGTCTTCACCTTTGGCAGGTTCAACTTTTTCATTCCCCTGTTTTGTCACTTTTCCCTGAAGGAAATCAAAATTTTAAAAAAAAAAAACAAAAAAGGGAATAAAAACCTCTGCCGGAGCTAATTATTCTGGTCACCGACCGGCAATTTCGTGCGGTTTTCTTCAACTCCAAGATTAGGATATTGATAAGCTCCAATTTGTCTTCTCCAAGACGTCACCGACTAAAGTCTCTTATAGAAAAGCTTTGTAATGCTGGGTCACCTGTTTGTAAAACAGGGTGTAATAGCCATTGGTTCAATTCGGTAGCTTCAAATTCAAACGCAGATCGCTGAGACTCGCAGTCGCAGCAGCTACGAGAGATCTAAGCTTCGTTTGACTTCAGGATTCAATTCACCCGCAGTTTGTCTCGCGTCACGAAGATGATGAAGACAAACGGAATCTCAGGCGAGCCGCCGGCGGCGGCGGAATGGGAGATGAGACCCGGAGGAATGTTAGTTCAGAAGCGAAGCGCCGAGTCGGATCGGAACTCGGTGCCGGCACCGACAATCAGAGTTAGGGTTAAATACGGGTCAACCTACCACCAAGTCAACATTGGTTCACAAGCTACATTTGGTAATTCCTTCCTGCCTTCTTTACTTTATATTCCTATTTATTCCATGTTACTTTTTTGAAAACATTTGTTTATTACGTGGGGTTAAATGTTAATACTAATTACAGGGGAATTGAAGAAAATGCTATCTGGGCCTACTGGTTTACACCACCAAGACCAGAAACTGTTCTACAAAAAGAAAGAGAGAGATTCAAAAATGTTCCTGGACATAGCAGGAGTGAAGGACAAGTCCAAGATAGTATTAGAGGAAGATCCAATTAGTCAAGAAAAGAGATACTTAGAGATGAGGAAAAACGCAAACATGGAGAAAGCTGCAAAATGCATCTCACAGATCAGCTTGGATGTAGATAGACTTGCAGGCCAGGTATTTAATTTCGTTCCTTAGAAGTACTGTTGTTTGTTGGGTTAAGGGGTCTTTTTCTTACCCTGTAAGAAGGGTGGTATTACCCTTTTTCAACACTTCCAGGTGATGATGTTGAGCCAAAAACAAACCTAGATACCTATAGCTTCTTCTCAAATACTTTCATGGCAAAAAACTACTCTTAACCCTGGTTTGTTTCAGTGTTCTTGAGTGGTAGAATGGAATGGAATCTGAGTAGTGATTGATTGGAAATTGGGCTACAGGTGGGTGCTCTTGAATCGATTATCAGTAAAGGGAAGAAGGTTGCAGAATCGGATGTGATTAGTTTGATTGAGCAGCTGATGAACCAATTGCTTAAATTGGACGCTATAATGGCTGATGGGGATGTCAAATTGCAGAGGAAAATGCAGGTAATTGTTTTATTTATTTCCTAAATTGCTCCCAAGTTTTACACACTCATGTGATTTCTGATCACTATTTTCCTGAACTACACTGCATTAATCAGTTTTCAGCCAGACAATTAGCAAAATACGGCTTGGTTTGGTTTTGAGTGTTTTTAATAGGCCTGGTCCTACTTGGTCATATATTAGGTTGGTCTTGAAAACAATGATAATTAATTATGGATTGGAAAAAATTATACTAGTATTTATAATTTTTATATAAAAAAATGAAAAAGTTTATTAGTTTAAGTACTTATTGCGGTGAGATTGATTATGGTATAATTATGGTTAGATCAATACTCCTCTGATAGAAGAAATTTGTAGTTCTCTTTATAGGGTAGAGAGAGAAAAAATTTATATAAATATACAGTTTTACCTTTTATTTATTACTATGTTGACTTTGTTCTCATAAAATATGTTATATATTAAATAGGAATAAGTTTGAAAAGTTAAATTTTAAATAAGAGTTAATAAAATTTCAGGTTTTTATTGGATCATGTGAAATACGTTGAAAGTGACTTATAAATAGGACGAGATGAGTAATTCTTAGACAAATAATTGTATAAATGTGCTGGCAAAAAAAAAGTGTATAAATGTAGTGCAATACGTGAGTTTTCAATTTAATGGGGCTGGAAATGTTTATTGGGCATGTTTAGACATGTCGGTTGTTGTTGCGTTACATAATTTATTGCACCAAGGGAAACGGTGTCATTACGAGACACCTATGAAAAAAAACCGATGAGAATCTTCTCAACAAAATTGAATTGAAGACTTGCCAATTCAAATTTGCTTTAGATTTTGTGCAAAAATATGAGGCCACATTGATACTAAATTATGATGAGCAGGTGAGAAGAGTGCAGAAGTATGTGGAAACACTGGATATGCTGAAAGTCAAGAACTCACTGCCACATAACAATGGAGGTCCCAAGCATAATAGCCAACAAAAGCAAAGACTTGCCCCAGTTGCAGAAGAGCAACCACAAAGGCACTCAAACTCTGGAGTGGTAGTCACGACCAAGTGGGAGACGTTTGACTCTGCCCCGTCACCATTAATCCCCGCCACGTCAGCATCCGCTTCCATGTCAGTCACCAATAATAATTATAATAATAGTAATAGTAATAATTCGGTTCGTCCCAGGTTCAATTGGGAAATATTCAACTAAAAAAGATTAATAGGAGTACCACGTATTTTGTTGATGAGGGTGTGGAGTCTTGGGGTGTGGCATTTTGTTCTTTATTCTTTTCTGTATTTAGATCACTTCACCAAACCCCTTTCCTTTGTCAATTAGCTCATGCAGAGGAAATCAAATTAGAATAATTGGGGTTGATATGTTATATGAAATGATAGTGATATTGCCATAAAATTTGTACCCCTTTTGTGATATGGCTATCATTTGTATGGTCCAATTTTTGTTTGTCATGTAATATATAATAATATATGTACTTGTAGTTTCTCTTATTGTAAAATTGGCGCAGCCATGTTCCTATGTGAAAAAAAAAAAGGAAGGTCATTCTTAGCTTACACTTATTAGGTGAGGCAAATGTGGCCCATTGAATAATGTAAATAATTTTGATCCTTGCTTCTCCTGGGGGATATTAACCAAAAAAGCAAAGAAGTTTTAAAAAATTAAAATAAAATAAAGAGAAAGACTTCTAAGGTGAAAAGTCTACCGAATTGATAGTCCAAAATATTCAAATTTAAAAATTTTCAAGGGTTGTACATGTAACTTAAGTACCGGGGTCATATTATTTATAAGCTGTGAATGATACGCCTTATAAATTTACTTGGGAATGTTTTCCCCTTCATCGCCCAACAGATCTGAAAAAGGTATCAAGAGTAGAGATGATCATATGACAGTAATGGATTAGTTTAACTAATTACTGTGTGGTTGGGTATCTTTACTGTTTTTATCCAACTAATTATCCAAACTAAAAATTATTTTTTAGACAACAAAATTACGTCACTAATGAGTAATCTATAAGAGTTCTCTTTAAATTATAAGACTTGTCCGAATTGTGGTGGGTTTCTAAGATTTAATCATCTAAACTTTCATTTAAAAAAAAACTGGCCTTTTTTTTTTTTTCTATTTTTATTGTTTTGACATAACCAATATATTTTTTTTAATAAAATCAATCAATTTAAATTTGATTGTCTTGAAACCTAAGTGAGACCACCTTTTTGAGGCCTAAGCAAAGCCTGAAGGTCATGATGACTTGCAGTAAAATAAAGCTATGGGAAACACGGATTCACGTTTGTGTTTAACTAATCCCAACAGGTCATACCTGTTATGATTAATTAGTGACACAACAGAATCTATTCTAGTATTATATATGCCTAAGAATCTCAACAATTTTTAATGCTGAACCTTTCATTTTCTCCCTCATTTGACGTAGTCTAAGATGACAATGTTTAGGTAGTGAATGCCAAAACATAGAATATTTCTATAATTCCATCCCCGTATTAGAGATATAAATAATTGTAACTAAGACAACTAAAATTAATACGAACGTCTAAGCATGATTCGTGAATTTTAATTGGAAAAAATATATAGACACAAACTCTTTCATGCCGCATAACCAACAGATGATTAGTTTTCTAATTATAATCAGTAGTTCTAAGTTGAGACCTATTATTACAGAAAGGACCCTTTTTTAGGTGTCGAAGGTTTTGCACTTTCCATCCCGATTGTTCAACTGGCGCAGAATAGTTATACCTATACCAATTGTAGAGAACAATCACTATGTAAAAAATACATTTTCTACATATTTATTATTTTTAATTATTTTTAACAGTTTTTCTTAAATCACACAATTTTAGTTATTTGATTTTTAAAGAAGCGGTGGAGGGATTAGCATTTGATTGATTGTTTTAACAAGTAATGACTTGTGCCAATAAAAAAATTGAGCATTTATTAGGGATATTTTGGTGTGAGAAAGCGCTTAATGCATGGGACAAAAATGAATGTGTTCATATACACAATTATGCTTGAATCCTAAATATTGTAAAAACTTTGCGATTCACTCCCCGCATTTTTTCATTTCATTCATTTTTTTTTCATATCTCTGTTTACATAAATTTAAAAAAAAATTTCGAAGCAATTTAATAAGGAAATTCTAGCACGTTGCATAGAGTATGCAATTCGTTCACATGATTTAACCACTTCACGCATAGTTCAACTTGTAACTTATTTTTTGGTATTAAAAAAAAGTTTAAATGTGTTAGGTCCTAAAGACTCACAAGAACTAAGGCATACTTTCAAGTTCAGATAACACTTATAGAGGTACTTACAAATTGTCTAACAACAAGGTCCTCACATCAGTAGTGGGATTCGAACTCATGATCCCATGGGTTATGAGCTGACTTCTTATTAATTAGATTAATTTTTATAGGATTATACTGATTTAACTAGAGTTTTAGCCTTTTAGGAATGCAGCCCTTTAAGTATTTTTCTTGTTACATATATGTATTTTCCTATTAAAGACAATTCTATTTGAGATACTATCAGGGTCGTTAAGTAGTGGGTAAGTTTTTGCCGATCTTTGTGGTCTTACTTAACTTAAATTAGTTTGGGGCTTGGGCCCTTTAAGTCCTCGGGCTGAAGCAAGGCCCGCTTAAGATATCGCCGATTCAGTATTAAGAAAAACCTTTTCTCGTGATAATTAATTGTCGGGTGAAATCATAGGCCCATAACTTGAATGAGACTCGCCCAGATTATGCTTGACTCATAAAAGAATTGGCTTGGCCCGATTTTAACAGCACAGGATTTTGGTCCTCAGACCAAACCAATCTTAATTGCTTTTTCTGGGCTTGTATAGTGTTTGGGCTATAGTTCACGAAGGCCCAAACCATGTTTTTTTTGAGTTAGGCTCAAAACTGTGAACGTCAGGGATACGCATCAGAATGTGGATTCACTTTTCAGCCCATGTTGAATTAATTCGTTACCAAACAAAACTTTGGGGATATGAATTCGTTCACCTGTAGTAAAAAGTTTAAGGCCTTAAATATAAGCCATTTATAGAACATTTAATTATCATTTTCCAATTTCGCCATTGTTTAATTCTCGCTGGAGAGAGAGAAAAGAGGTAAGAATGGTTTGTTAATACATAAAAGGAAAAAAAAAATTCTAATGAAAATAAATTTTGAAAAGTTTATCAATTAATGCATTTTCTAGTATGTGAAAATAAGTTATAATAAGGAACAGAGTGGCAGGTAGTGAATTCTGATGAGAGTAATTAAACTTGCGCTTATATTGCAAATTTCAGTGAGCAGTTCCTTTTAATCAATGCAGTGTTTCTTTAATTTAAAGCAACATATTTTAAACCTAGGGGGCTGGTAAGACACAAAATGGGAACGAGAAAGATAATAGAAATTTTACAAACAAACAAAAACATTTTCCATTTCTTACCTCAAATTCTTTTCCCATTTATATATGCACCAAACGCAGCCTTAGAGTAAGAGACCACTCCTAATCAGCATTGATCTCATCTACCTTCGTTAGATTACTTCACCCAAATTCTTTTTTTTTTTTTTGGTTGAATGAACCCAAGCTTTTAAAGTTCAATGTTTATATTGTACATATTAAGTTACAATATTTATATTTCGGCTGAAAAAAAGTTAAAATATTTATATATCCTTCCAATTCTTAATGTAAGACTTAATAAACTAATTTGAGTAGATTAAGGATACTAGTTAACTTAGTTAATATAATTTTTTTTTATAAAATACTCTAATTATGTTCATTAATTTCCTCTCTAGCCTCTCTTTTCTATTTGATTATTATTAAGAGAATATTAATAGGACAATTTAAAAAAAAATTGATAAACATATAAAATGAGCCTTAATGATCAGCATCAACTCTTAAATTAAGTCGACATTAAGAATCAAAGGAGTGTCCAGTTAAAAGAATCAAATGTGTCATCCTTGTTGGACCGTTAAAATGTCCTCATGCTGTCCCTCACCAAACAAATGGTTCAATAAATTTATTGAACATTGAAACAGAGAGATCAAAATGGAAACAGTATTTTTGAACTTTGCCGACACAATGTATTATAATGTTATACTTATATGTGCGTGTGTGTGTATATATTTATATTATATGATTTTGTTTGGACTTGCTTTTCCAATTTTCGGCTCAGAAACAGGCCCCCGGGTCATTATATATATATATATATATATATATATATCTGTGTGTGTGTGTGAGTGGAGCCATCAGAATTAAATTCAGATTTTGATTCCTTTGTCAATTGGAGGAAAAAAGACCATATGAAACATTAGTCTAAGATCGTTAATAATAATATATGTAAATAAAAAAGGAAGAATCAAAACTTACATTCTATAGACAAGTTGGTAGTAGTTGATTGCCAGATTCCAGTTCATGCAACTTTCTCATTTCTTAAATCTTAAGCATTCAACGACGGCATGTTTATGACATTTTAGGATACGAACTATATATATACGCACACCCACTCTTACGTTAATTTATTATGCCGCATTTGAAGAATAAGCTAGTTTCATTGTATGCGGCTTATAATGGTATGATTTACATAAAATTTTGTTATATATATTATTTATAGTCCTTAATATAAAAATTAGTTTGATATTCAATTTGGTCCTGAAAATAAGACTCCAGTTCACTTTATTTATTATATTTATCGTTTTTTTTAAAGTAGTCCTTGTAGTAGTTGCACATGTTAAAAATCACATTAAATGGTAGTTCTAACTAATATACTTAATTAGCAATGATATTTTAGGAAAGACAACATCTATATATTACAAATAATTAATTTAACTAAATTTTTTAATTTATTTAAATTAGTTAACTAGTTCTCATATTAAAGAGTAGAGGTAGTATATCCTTATATATATATATATATATATATATTGATACATATATTTATCACTAAGAGCAAACTTGATTTCAGGTTGGTAATTTTGATGGAAGAAGATAATAATTATGTGTTATCTCCAAAATCAATCATGGATTTAATTTAACGATTTCTAACGTAAAAGCAAATACATATACATAGTAAATAGTTATATTTTCGGAGACTAACAATGAAAGAATAACAAGATGAAGTGGAGTTGGATGGAATACATATATTTATATTTATACTACCTCCAGTTCTTAATATAAGGGCTAGTTGACTAATTTGAGTAGATTGAGAAAATTAGTTATTTGTAATAAATAGGTGTTGCCTTTCCTATGGCTAAGACTACCATTATTACAATGATCACCTTAGAAAAAAAATAGATAAATATGATAGACAAAATGGGTTGGAATATTATATTTAAGACCAAAATAAAAGTTAAACAAGCTCTTATATTAAGAATCGGAGATAGTATTTATTAAGTAAAGCACATCGTTTTTTTTTTCCCAATTAATCACAATCTTTTAGGCAATGTTTTCCAGTATGGATTACTCTCATTTTTTTAATATGTTGGGACTGCAAAGGCCGGATATTATCCATATATACTAAAT